TATATATATATATATATATATATATATATATATATATATATATATATATATATATATTAATTTCAGAGTGTTACACGTTGCTAAGAAACTGATGAGTAAAGCAATTTTAATGCACTTCGCTTATATAATAAAAAATATGCTTGTAATTGCTTGATAATTGTATCAATCTTATATTTTCTTTGTCATTTCCCCATTTTTCTCTACTTCACAGGAAAAGTATATATGGCAAGAGAGGTGTATGCCTGGCAAGAGATGTGGGAGTCCGGCAATAGATATTGATGCCTGGCAAGAAATATGTATGTCTGGCAAGAACGATGTTTGTCTTGTTATAGAGATGCGTGCCTGGCAAGTGAGATGTATGTTGGACAAGAGAAATATATGTCTAGCAACAGAAATTTGTCTGGCAAGAGAGATGTATGTCTAGCAAGAGACAAGAATGTCCGGCAATAGAGAGGTTTGTCTGGCAGAGATGTTTCTGGCAAGAGGGATGTATGTCTGGCAAGAGGGATGGATGTATGTCTGGATGGAGCGATGTTTATGGGAAGAGGGATGTATGTCAACCACCACCTACTTCCCTGTCCCGAATAAAAAAAAAAATCACCCTTCAAGTTAAACAGAGGATGTTTGATAACAGGAAAAATATAATTCTATAGAAACAAATGAAGTGCAAATGAAACTATGTTAAGCGAGACGTTGGTATCTTTCGCACACTGAAATGGACCATCCATTACAAGACGTCACGCATTTGACGGAGTTGGTGGTGGGTGCCAATACAAACTTGTAACAACGGTGTCTAACGTTTGTGGATAATCTTAAATTGTAATATCGGGTGTAACTCAGAGTAATTTGCAATGAGTTTAATGGTGGTGTAACAATTTTAAAAGAATTTAGGAATCTAGTTAAAAGAATATACTTGATTCATTTTTGGTTGTGTTTTGTGTGCGGTCAAGAGAGACTATCGTGTAGTTTTCATTTTCAAGACGACATCAGTTTCCTCCCCTACATTTAATTCTAATTCACAGCCATGTAACTGAATAATTTCAGTTGCTACCATTTGATCACAAACTACTGTCACGTTTTAATACAGTTTCAGTTCCTTCCCTTTGGTCGTAATTTAGACAATGACAATACGAACACAAAGACAAACCCTACAATGTCAAGGCTTAGACTTAAAAAAAAATGATTTCAATGTGAATCAGTAAGCCAACAAATGGACCTGACATAAATTGAGCTTACATTATGTAAGTTGTAATCAACAGTAAACTTGGCTTACAATTTGCAATGTAAAATAATGTTTGTCTTTTTAAGAATATTTATCTGTCCTGAAAATTCATATGCACAATGTAATAAAACATAATAATATTTCCATTAATTTATAAAGGAATCTAACTTTATATTATCTTGATGTTATTATATCAATACCATATGTTAATCACATTGTAGTTTTTAAAAAAAAACAGAAAGCTTGTTTTATTTAATTATTTATACACGTTAAATATTTTCTGATAGAAGCGTATTTCATGCCATCATCTAGTTTATTTATATAAGAACTGGTTTTTAATTGCAAATAGTAAACATGTAAGGTATTTATGTGTTACAGGGTTAGTTATTAGTTCATGTATCATAAAAATAGTAAGAATAAATAGATAATTATACAAACATATATTGTTTTTTTAGTGCCTTATAGATAACGCATGGCTTTATTGGTTCCTGGAACGAGCCAAAAGTATTCCTTCAAACCAGAGGGTTTTTAGCAAGGGGATGCAGCCAATGGACCAGGTATTACAGGTTTCCAAAGTACCACCAATGATCTCAAGATGAAGAATCACACTGTGGCCGTTTTCTTTGACCTTTAGCGAGCATACGATAACGTCTTGGAGGCTACGTCTGCTGTACACGTTACAAAAAATCGGTATAACAGCCAATATCATTCCTTCTTATAAAATTACACAATATCCACCCGTGTCCAAGGTTTCGGACATGTGTGCACTCGAGGATGGACTCCCCCAAGGGTCAGCCTTGAGCTGCACCCTGCTCCTGGCATATGTGTATCATCTACAGTAACGTTTCGTAACAAAGAACGCAATGTTCTCAGATGATTTAGTAATCTTGAACACTGTCAAACCTAGTCAGCAATTTCAGAGCCAACTGCCACAAGACATCACTGAGATATGCTGAAAAAATGGAGATTGGAGGTACATGCAGAGAAAAATGAATATTTTTTGTTCACAATGGGAGGAATGAATTAAAAGAAGAAATATCTCTTCGCATCTGTGGGAACACGTTCAAGTGGACAATACACATACGTATTTGGGAATTAATTAAGCTGGATAGGAAACTCTACAAACACCGGCATTGTCGTGAACTCGGCACCCATGAAACGTCTAAATTGAGCCTGGTAAAGAAACTAGATAGCACTAACTTGGATGCCGACGCAAGCCTCCTAAGGCTATTATATCTCAGGAGTGTGAGAGGGGCTTTGAATGACAGCCTCACAGTTCAGGCCTTTGCAAGTCGTGCAGCCCTAGAGAGACTG